CTGGAATATGGAATATGGCCATCTAATAAGAGCTTAAGACAATAAATCATGCTATCGCTGTAACCATAGTTTGAAACTCTCAATATAACTTTGTAACTGAGTCTCGCATGTGTTGTCACTAAACGAATTGCTCAGCTTTATCAAAGTGTACAATTTAAACTTTCAAGCTTTTGGTGTAACGTCGGTGGCGTTAGCTTTCTCTGTGGTAGCTTTTTTCGCTCCGCAGTCTACAATGCTCGGAAGATAATTTGCCGGGTCGCTATTCACAACATCGGTAATCCAGCTAACTACCTAAAAAAATTTTGTTAAGACAAAAATATTACTGTAGAAATGGCTAATTTTTTTTACTAATTGGAAAGCTACTAATAATTGCTTCTCATCAAAAAATATTGTAGGAAATATCATACTTAAGCATTTGCTTGAGCTTTACCTTGGTGCAGTTGGCGTTTAAAAGGGTGAAGTTGTATTGAAGTTGGCCAGAATGGTTTATAGCCTTAACAGTTCCCTCGAGTGTTCCTAGCTTTGAAGCGTAGTTTTTGATCTGAATGAAGTAAATACTGCTTATTGAAACTGTGAGGCAATGCCCAGCTTCTCAATAACCTCCGTTTCCATATCAGAGGTTCGGTTGTCGTAGGGGTGCTTGGTAGATAGTCCAACAGACACGTGCTTATCCCCGGTTCCAACGTCTTTCGGAGGTGGCAGTGCCTTGGGAACCTACAAGAATTCTTTGTTAGCTCCACAAGAGCTGCCTTCCTTCACTCGGCTATCGGAAATCGCCGACCGAAGAGGTAGTCTACCTAAACGCCTTGAATGGTAACTAACAAGAACTAACCGCAATAACTACTATAACAAGGAAAGGAAGAAGAAGACGTTCCATGGTTGCCTGGGGTAGGAGCAGTCACATAGTTTTTATACTCTTGTAGCACTATAAGTATGTGGATTGCGATGGTTTCTTGAACAATTTGCTTTTCATCTGTTTTTCTGCTTTCATAAAAACTTGAATGGTATCGTTCAGTTTCCGTTGTCTGACGGGCATTGATAATGATCAAATTCTATACAAGTAGCCCCTACATATTCTTCTGTTTTGTTCAAAAATAAAAGCAATAATATATTCTCTCGNGATTGAATTTTCTATGAAATTCATTCAATTCATGTTGAGCGGTTTCCTTGAATGGCACGAGAAGCCTTTCGCTTCAAAATATCGCTTAGATCGCCTTCATTGTGGCCTGTGAAAACGTTTCATGAGCTTTCCGACCAGAACGGTGTCCTTCATCTCCCACAAATAGACAGACAAACTTACATGTGTAGTTTATCTATATAGAGTAAGAATATCGTTCGTTCTCGAGCATAAACTATTACGGCGGTTGATCGAGTTAATCTTTGATCTAACTCCACTGTTCAAGATCCCGATCATCGGTTGTGATGGTTTTCGAAACTTGTGTGGAAGAGCCGCCTCTTCAAAGAAGTCTCCTCCCACTGCGGATGTGTTCCAATCATTTCATTCATTGACCAGTTCCTAACCTTTGCTCGGTTTTTTCCAGCTTCTGGGCTGTCATGAAACCAAATGAGGAAGTCTCGCCTATAGCATCGCCCAACTCCAGCGCATGTCCCGCCCCTTGTGGGCGGAGCTTTATGAGCTCAGCCTGTGCTCAATTCATGTCAGACTTTGCTCATTCGAAGCTCGTATTCATAAACAAAGAAATGACCAGAACCGCGAACTTCTTCATCAGAAGAATTCGAAGTTGTCTTAGACTTTTTCACAACAACTTTTTAAGAAGCGTCTTAAAAAGTTGTTGTGAAAAAGCTCGTAAAGGACCTTGCATGGAGCTAAAAAAGGGGGTCCGGTCTCAGATTTTTTTTTCAATTTCTGGATCGAACGCGTTTGATCGATTACAGATTGAGATCGATGAGCCGGAAGATGCAAGAACATAATTTTTTAATAGAAAAGTTGGGAATAAGTCGATCAGACTGGCCTAGCTGTTCCCACAATTAACTTCTTTGCTTGAATTCAAGAGTGTTTGAGGGTCATTTGTCGATCTTTCTTGGTTTTAATAATGTCTCTAGTTCATGCAAATTCTCTCCTTTACTTCCTTTCTGGTACCTCAGTTGCTTCTTTTTTCATTGTCGTTATACATATCAAATGAAATATGTTCAATTTCGCTCAAATACTATATTAGAGTTATAATGATAGCACGCATTACTTATACTTATTTACACATCATTATTTACTCAATTTTATAATCAAATCATATTTTTTATAAAACTTATTCAATATTATTCAAATTATATTTACTTAACCGTAACTTGTATTATTTGATAAATTTTATTACCTTTATTTGTATTATTTCGTACCGTTTATTTACTGATCGCACTGTCTAATTTTGATCTTTTTAATTACGTTGGAACCCTAGTCAGTGAGCAGTAGTAGTACCATATTCCTACATGAATGTCGTTAAAAGATAAATTCGAGTGATAATCGGTGATATTGATGGTTGCCTCTTCTGTAATTTCAATTCGAATTATGAGTCGGCTTTCGATTGAATTCTAAACTTGCTGTTATTCGCTTGTTTGTGTGTTTGTTTGTTTGTTTGCTTACGTTCGTGATCCCTGAACATACATGATTTTACTTGTATCGTTTTTTCTCGTTCTTCGAGGACCAAGATTTCTTCAAATCCCAAACTTTCCCATTTCAAATTCTAGGGCGTTTCGAAGTCAACGCGTCAACGTCGCCGGCTGTTGTCCAAGGTTATTTGTGTGAGTGTAATGTACCGAGTGGAAAAAGCAGAAATCTATCGGTTCAGCTGTTAGACATGCCTGAGGTGAGTTCTTGCTTTCCATATGGTTGAATTTACCTATTTGAAAACAACCTTACAGTAACATCTGTGGAGAGACTTTGAAACTTACTTTTTGACTTTACGAAAATTCAAAAAAATTTTCATACCAAAAGACCTAGCTGTTCTTCGTTGCTGGACGCCAGAATCAGTTAGTTACTGAGTTTGTTGAAATAAACGTTGTATATTTTGCATTTGCTGTGAAAAGAGGAATGATCATTTCGAAAAAAAGTTTACCCACGAAGAACCTAGAAAGGGAGCATTTCACTTCCAGGGTAGAATCTACCCAAAGAATGCTTGGAAAGGGATTTTCCTGACCTGGGCCAGTAGCTGTGGGTAGAATTGTCTGAGAGAATGGGTAAAATCTGTCGTAATCTTTATTAACAGTGTCTAGTTTGAATAATTATTTATCAACAGAGCAACAAGCCAAGTCCTCCTACCTCTCCTTACTTGTAGCCACTTTTCCATTTTCAGATCTTTTAAAAATTCGGTATATTTGACCTCCACCTCTTGCAACTAGGAGGACAAAAAATTTGCTGTGTCCTTAATAATATACAGTAGCTACGCTACAGTAATCACTAACAAGTTGTCTAGGTGCTTCATCGTCGGTTCTCGAATTATTTTTACAATTGCTCGCAGTAATGTCAAAGGTTTAGTGCATTAGTTCCCCTCTATGTTCCTAAATAGCTTCTGTGCACAAAGGTATGTATACGGACTCCCTTTTTCCTGCCAATGAGTGGGGAAATGGATTCTATAAAGCGTAGAGTCCATTTTTGAAGGAGGGCTTTTATAACTCTCGTTGTACAGTATCCAGGCTAATACTGTTGTGTCACGTATTCAAGACTGGTTTACTGTACGGTTCGGGAGAAAGTCAGATGAGAACGTGTCTTTTGGGATCGATTCCAAAAGTGGGTCTCTTAGCTTGTGACGACTTCCAAGCGATATGCACCTGTACAGGAACCGGGGTACGGAGATCTACT